TCAATGATCTCCACGTCAGCAGGAGGCGAGAGCGGTGACAGGTCAAGCTCGCCAACGGTTGCCACCTTGGCAGCCACCGACTCGGGCAAGTCCAGGTCAGCATTGCTGACGTGGCCATCTGTAGAAGTACTTCTGGTGGTGCTTGATTCGGGCTGCTGGCTTTGGGCACGCACGGACCGCCACGTGACTTGATGACGTTGATGTCTCAGATTCGTTTGGCGGGATGATTGAATCTGAGAAAAGGTACTGGCTCTTAGCGGGGAGGATTTTAGCGAAGAAACTCTTAGCGACGCCACTCGTGCGAAAGAACCTGTCGTTGAACACGTGGCTTCTCTTGCCTGGCCAACGACGACGGAATTGCCTAGGGACGCAACGGTTCCTGGTAACCGCATAACCATTGTCGCCATGGGATCCGACTCAGCCCACACGAGATTAAGGGTAATGCAACAGACGAGGAGAACTCGCCACTCTAAGGTACTAGTTCTTAGTCTGCCCAGCCTCGTTACCTAAATCTAGTGGTTCACACTAGCAGGGTTATTAGGCCGATGATCAACATTTCTATGGGCGCTTCACCGCTTAAGAACTCTGTTCACCGAAGGCAACCGTACAAAAAAGAAGAATTGAGAGTTGGTGAAACGTGTCGCCACCTGGACGGGAGCCAATTGAATCGCGAATCGCGAGCCAGGCGACTGGCGGCAGAAAAAGTCACGTGGCTGGGTTCTGGCGGTTGGAGGATTCGAGAGCCAGTTAGGATGACACGTCGATTTCCCCGTCAAAAGCTGCTCCGTCTATGTCCTTCACACAATTCAGTTGCTTTTTGAAACGGATGCACTCAACATAAGAAGGGTATTCCGATACGCAGTTCGGAAAGAAATGTGTTGTATGATACATCTTTCACGGGATATTTTCCGGCCCTTGGGAATATCCTCCCGCTTCTGAGCGGCTACCTTCAGCACCCACCGAAATCTTACACCTTCCGCTTCCTCAGTTTTTTAGTAGCCATGGAAGCACATTTCGGCTTCTGTGACTAGGCTCGAATCGTATGCATCCGAGCGCACGGCCGCTGCGGATCACGAGCATCTCACGAATCGCGACCGTCTTCTGGACGCAAGCCACGTCCCATCGCAATGGCATAACGAGGTACTCACTTCACCGCCGCGTTTGTACATTTTCTCTCGCGCATTTTTCGTGCAGCGTGCGTGAGAACTAGGTTTGCAGTCCATGATTGTAGTTCGTTGGCTTAGTTCTCGTTCGGTATCATAAGAAGCTTCAATTGAGTGTGCATTCAGTCGGCACGGACGATGCCGAACCCTCGCGTGTGGTCCAGTCCTGCAGTGAAGGGCAAGGCGTATCCTTTACCCAAGAAACGCCGCCCTTTAAAGCGCGTCTTACCCCTCCTTTTAATTGCTGTAGTTCTCGCCACCTGTTACTGCTACAGCCTACTGATCTCCTCCGAACCGCCCGACTCCGACCAATCAGAACGCTCCGTTTCTAGTGGCCTAGACCGGGATAGAGGTCGTATTCGCGGCTCGGGTAAGGGGAAGATAGAAAACACTAGCAATGGAGCCGAGTTGCTTGACGACGAGTGGTCAGGGTACGGTCTAGGGAACCACGGCTTACAACCCAATAGGATGAATGCAACCCATGGCGGCGCGATTGGCGCCTTGAGCTCCGCTACGCGGCGCGTGCGGCTTCAAGGGGGCTGGAAGGAGCGGCGGCAGCGGACGCGGGCTTTAAGAATGCAATTAGAGGCGCGGTTACAGGCGGAAGCGGACGAGGGGGAATGGGGAGACGGGGAGGGGGAGGCGGAGGGGGAGGGGGAGATGGAAGTCGGCGCGGGGAAGGGAAAGGGGGAGAGGGGGGAGGGCGAGGGGGAAGAGGAGCAGCGGAAAGGGGAGGGAAAGCGGGGAGAGGAGGCGACTCGCTGGTGCGCTTCGCTCGGGAATGGCGAAATCGCGATTCGCTTACGTGTTCATCGTTCACTCGTCTAGCCTGGTTGGTGGTTCGTTCCTGGTTCGGGCTGATGTGTGGGCGGGGGAAGGGGGAGGGGTGGAATTAGGATGAGGAAGGAGGGGGGGAAGGGGGAAGAGATTAAGAGGGAAGGTTTTAACTCATTATAACTCAACTACTTATTACTCATTATGGGGATCAGTATGTGGCAACAACTACTTATAACTCATTATGGGGATCAGTATGTGGTAACAACTACTTATAACTTATTTGGTTCGGATGTTATGGAGATTTTTGTGGCACTGGTGGGTAGTTTGTAACTGCAGGTTAGTCGTCATTGTAACCAGCACATCGAGATCGTAACATTTGTCCATCGTGCTTCTCCTCTCCTACTCCATGCCCTGCCAGCCCTCGACTCTCCCCTTCCCCCTCCTCCTCCGCCACTTCACAGCTGTCATCCCCCTCCCTCTTCCCCCCTCTCTGCCTTTTGCTCTACAATCTCTCAATAGCGCCCACCCCCTTCCTTTCTCCTTCCCACAGTCCCCCGTTTCTCTCAACTCAACCCCATTCCCAGCTCCAACCGGCTATAGTGGCGGTTCAGGCCCTCCGCTTCTCCCTCACCCCCCACGACCTGCTTCTCCTCTCCTCCACCCTGCCCCTCGTTTCCCCCCCTTCCCCTCCCCCCTCCAGCTCCGACCAGCCATAGTGGCGGCTCAGGCACTCCGCTTCTCCCGCACGCCCCACGACCTGCTTCTCCTCCTCTCCTCCTCCGTACCCCGCCAGCCCTCCACTCTCCCCCTCCCCCTCCTGCTCCGCCACTTCACCGCCGTCATCCCCCTCCCGGCCAATCACCTTCAAGGAGCCGCCGTCGCGGCCAATCCGCTGCTAGTAGCGAACCCGGGCGGCGCAGGGGCGGCGGGCGGGGGGGGTTTGGGCGGCAGCGGGGTGGCGGGCGGGGGGGATTGGGCGGCGGAACTGGCTGGGCGGCTGGCGGGGGGGTTTTGGGCGGCACAGGGGCGGCGGGCAGGGGGTTTTGGGCGGCACAGGGGCGGCGGGCAGGGGGGTTTTGGGCGGCAGCGGGGCGGCAGGGGGAGGGGGATCGGGCGGCGTAGGGGCGGCGGGCGGGGGGGGATCGGGCGGCGGAACTGGATGGGCGGCTGGGGATGGTTTGGGGACCAATCAGGGCGTGGGAATGGCAGGGGGAGGGTCTCCGGTGGAAGGTTACAGGAAGCTTCATGTGTGGCGGTTGGTGGAGTATGATTGGGTGCTGTATCTAGACGTGGATGTGCTTATAACGAGGAATTTGGATCACCTGTTCCCTAGTAACGCGGATGATGGCAGCAGCAACCGTCAGCAGCAGCAGTAGCAGCAGCAGCAGCAGCGGCGGCGGCGGCAGCAGCGGCGGCGGCGGCAGCAGCGGCAGAGGAAGCAGCAAGGGAGCAGGCAGGGTGGAACCTTCAGACAGCCCTTCACCAGATACCACCTCCCCCCACAGGCAGCCCTGTCCCGAGCCTCTGGCTGCCGCACCTGACGTGTACGAGGCTGACCGCTTCAACGCAGGCGTGCTGCTGGTTCGGCCGAGCCTCACGGTGTTTCGGCAGATTGTGAGGCGAGCCAAAGTGGTGGCTGCTGCCGTGGCTGCTCGCGCTGGTGCCATGCCTAACGACCAGGTACGGATTTACCAAAGCAACCAGCCTCATGGTGCACTGCATGCCGTGCCATGCCTGTTGACCAGGTACGGCAGGGATGCTGCTAGCATTCTATGAAGAGTGACTAACGCCCCATCCATCCACCCACCCACCCACCCACCCACCGATATAATTTTCAAGCCACTTTTGAGAAATTTGAGACGTCTCAACGTCGCAAAACCCCTCCACATGTATACGACTTATAGCTGAGACTGAGTCACATACACAAGAAGAACGCTAATGTAGCTGGTCCCAATGCCCTCTCCCCTGCCGCCAGAACTTAGTGTTTTGCCACCGCTACCACGCCCACCGGTTCTGCTCCCCCAGTTTCCCCATGGCCCCACCAATGTCCCCCCTTGCCCCCCATATTCCCTTCCCCCCCCCCATCACCAGGATTTCCTCAACTCTGTCTTTCGCCACTGGTTCAAGTCCCACCCCTCCTGCCCCCTTCCTTTTACCACCAACGCCATCCTCCACTTCCCCCTCCCTTTCTCCCCTCTCCCCCCCCCTCTTTTCCCTCCCCCAGGATTTTCTCAACTCTGTGTTTCGCCATTGGTACAAGTCCCACCCTTCCTGTCGCCTCCCTTTCACCACCAACGCCATTCTCCACTTCCCCCTCCCCTGGTACCAACCTCCCTCCTGGCTGCACCCTCCCTGCGGCCCTGACTGCGCCCCTCTGCACCTAGGGCCTGTTCACACAGTGCACTTCGCCAACCCCTGGTTCAAACCCTGGCTCTTTCTGAACACGCCCTTGGATCAGCTGGTTCCTGGGACTCAAGAGCTTGGCTTTAAGGGTGCGGGAAACGGGGTTGCTGCAGGTAGTGCTGCTAGTAGTGCTGGTAATGGCAATGCTGCTGCTGGTGCTGCCAGCAGTGCTGCTGGTAGTGCTGCTGCTGCTGCTGCTGCTGCTAGTAGTGCTGCTGCCACTACTTCTAACTCCTCCACCTGTGCTTGTGGCTGTACCACCACTCCAGACCCCTCCCCACACCATTCCTCCTCCTCGCCTTCCAAACCTACCCACCCGCTCCTCTCCGGACCTCTCCCGTACCTGTCGGAGACCGACCGAGCCTGGGGCTTCTGTTCGGTTTGGTGCCGAGCCTGGCTGGCCCTGTACTGGTCGCTGCAGCAGGGGGAATGGGCGGCTCCCCTGGGGGAGGGGGCGCACTGTGGGGGGCAGGGGCAGGGGCAGGGGCAGGGGCAGGGGCAGGGGCGCAAGGGGGAGGGGATGGGAAAGAGATCAGCAGAGAGGAACGAGGAGGGGAAAGGGGAGGAGCTGGGGGGAGGGAAAGGGCGATTGGGGAGGGGGTTAAAGGGCTTGGAAGATGGTGAGGGAGTGATGAACAGGAGTGATGAACAAGGCTCTCAGCTGCCCGTACCTAGAGCAGGAGCAGGAGTGGGTTCAGTAGGTTTGGAGAAGGATGGGGCAGTGACGTTGGGGCCAGCCAACAAGAGCAATTCCACCTCATCACCCCCTTCCGTCACTCCCCTTCTCAACAAGAGCACCACCGCAGCCGTCCCTTCTGTCACCACCGTACCACCGTCCATCATTTCCTCTTCTCCACTTCCCACCTCACCTCCTCGAGCCTCCTCCTCGCCTCCCCTCTCTTCCTCCTCTCCTCCTGTTGACACTACAAGCACCCCAACCTCTTTGATCCCCCTCCCCTCCACCCCTCCTCCTCCTTCCTCCACTCCCACTCCGACCACTTTTGAGACGTCTCAAACGTCTTCTCCCCCTCCGCCCCCTCCCTCCCCGTCCTCCCTCCTCGCCTCCCCAGTGTGCTCCTGGGCAGGCGTGGCCCAGCTATCATGGGTGGGACTAATCCCCCAGCTCCACCTTGATGAGGCCCTCCTTGCCCCCCCCGCCTCCTCCTCCTCCTCCTCCTCCTCCTCCTCCTCCTCCTCCTCCTCCTCCTCCTCCTCCTCCTCCTCCTCCTCCTCCTCCTCCTCCTCCTCCTCCTCCTCCTCATCCTCCACTTCCTCCTCCCTTCCCTCTTCCTCCTCCTCTTTGCCTTCCGCCTCCTCTCCTTGCCCCGCTCCTCACCTCCCCCCATGGCTATGGTCCCCCTCCTCCCTTCCCCCATCGCTTCCCCTTTCCTCTGCTGATTTGCCCAATGACCCACCGCTGCTATTGCGCTCTCAGCATCAGCACCAGCAGCAGCACGAGCAGGAGCAGCAGCAGCAGAACCGGCCACAGAAGCAGCAGCAGCGGCAAGGGCACGAGCACCAGAGGCTGCATGGAAGCCAGAACCGCAACCGAAACAAGCACAGCCGTGTTGGCCGTTCCAAGTCGCAAGCAGGCACCTCTAGGTCCCTCGCGTCCACCTCGGCCCTCGACTCGTTCTTTGACCCTCTCGAGTCCTCCCTCTCCTCCTCTTCCTCCTCGTCTGTAAAAGACAGCAGGGAAGCATCATCAACAACAGCAGCAGGTGGGCAGGCCAAGGTAGGGAGAACAGGGAGTTCTAGATCCCTCGCTTCCACCTCTGCCCTCGACTCCTTCGACCCTCTCGAGTCCTCCCTCTCCTCCTCCTCTTCCTCCTCTTCTTCTGTGAGAGACAAAACTGGATCATCAACAGCAGCAGCAGCAGCCGCAGCAGCAGCAACAGCGGGTCAGCAGACCAAGGCAGGGAGAGCAGGCAGCTCAAGGTCCCTCGCGTCTACTTCTGCCTTAGACTCTTTTTTCGACCCCCTCGAATCCTCTTTCACCTCTTCCTCCTCTTCCTCATCTGGCTCTGTAAGTAAGAGTGGTGATTTAACAGCAGCAGCTGCAACAGGAGCAGCAGCAGGAGCAGCAGGAGCAGCATCAAGAACGGTCGAGAACGGTTACAAGGGAAAGAGATCAACGGCAGGATTAGACACTGTTACCCGATTGGCTGGTTCTACTGCCGAGGGAAATTCCCAGAAGCACGAGCAGCAGGAGCAGGAGAGGCAGAGGCAGATAGAGGAAGGCGTGTTTGCTACAGTGCTGACGTCAGCGGCTGACATCATCCCCGTGGCTGTGTGGATCAGATCCTTCCGCCGCCATCATTGCGGGCGGCCAGATGAGACAAACAGCACCGGTGGCGGCATTATCAGCTCTGGCACCGGTGCTTCAGCTTCATCTAGCGATGGATCTACAGGGAAGCATGGCAAGCAGAGGAAGAGGGGTGGGTGGGGGAGTGGGCGGGAGGAGAGAATCAAGAAGGGGGGTGGAGTAGGAGGGGGAGGAGGGGGAGGGGAGGAGGGGAGTGGGGAGGAGGGGATGGGAGGGAGGAGGGTGATGAAGGCCGGACGGTCCGGTGTGGATAAGGGCAAGTGCCGCCGTACGCTGCTGCTGGTGTCGTCTCGAGTGGCCAAGGAGAAATGGGCGCCGTATGACTTTGAGGTGAGTGGAACAGTAGCAGTTTTGTTTAGACTGAACAGATCAGCTACTGAGTACAGACGCGTTATTGTTAGACTGATCAGCTACTGATTAGCTCAGCTGTCCTGGGCTGCTGGTGCCGTCTAGAGTGGCCAAGGGGAAATGGGCGCCCTATGACTTTGAGGTGAGTAGAACAGAAACGGTTTTGCTTAGACTGATCAGCTACTGATCAGCTCAGGTATCGTGGGGTGCGCCTGGTGTCGTCTACAGTGCGCAAGGAGAAATGGGCGCCTTATGACTTTGAGGTGATTAGAAGGCGAAACAGTTTTGCTTAGACTGATCTGATCAGCTACTGATCAGCTCAGGTATCGTGGGGTGCGCCTGGTGTCGTCTACAGTGCCCAAGGAGAAATGGGCGCCGTACGACTTTGAGGTGAGTAGAAGGAGAAACAGTTTTGCTTAGACTGGTCTGCTACTGATCTGCTAAATGACCCTGGTTGCTGCTTGTGTCGTCTAGAGTGCCCAAGGAGAAATGGGCGCCTTATGACTTTGAGGTGAGTGAAAGAAAATGAGATTTGTTTAAAGTGATTTGAGAAGCTGCTGATCTGCTCAGGTACCCTGGGCTGCTGCTGGTGTCGCCTAGAGTGGTGTCGTCTACTCCCCCTACTCTCTCCTGCTCTCACTTCCTGCACCCCATGCTCCCGCCTCTCCTCCCCCTGTCACCACTCCGCATCAGTCCCTCTTTTGGTCCGTGTGAGTGGTGAACCCATCCACTCCCTCCTGCCCTCCCCTCCTGAACCCCATGCTCCCGCCTCTCCTCCCTCTGTCAACACCCCCCCCACAGTCCCTCTTCTGGTCCGTGCGAGTCGTCGACCCCGTCCCGTCTCTGTTGAGACAAGGCGAGTCAAACATCCCCCCTCTTCCCCTCTCCCTGTCAACCACCCCCCTCCACAGTCTCTCTCCTGGTCCGTGCGAGGGGTCGACCCCGTCCCGTCTCTAATCACCGCTCACCCACTCACTTTACCCTCACCCCACCAATCTCTTTGCTCTCCTGCCAACTCCCACCCCTCCTCTTCCCCCTCTCACCACCACCTTACAGTCCCTCTTCTGGCCCGTGCGAGTGGTGGATCCACTCTCTGTGCGCCGCCCATCCACTCACTCTACTCTCACCTGCTCTCACTTGTTGTAAATGTATCTTATATATACAACATACATAGGCTAGAATAGGTGTAGCTCTTTAAGCTATTGGGGGGTTGGGTGTACACTCCAACCACACTTTGTGGTTGGGTCAAGATTTGGTTTGGTCTTGGTCCTTGGTTGGCACTTGCCAACATTTGGTCCTAAGGCCAACCAATCACAAGCTAGCAACATTGTGGGGTTCCCTACTCCACAAGGCAACTCACCCATTGGCCAACTTAGTGGCCAATAGGGTTGCACCTTCTTCCAACCTCTCTTCCTTGCATGCTTGTACTATAGAGCCTCCTTGGCTCATTACTCAACTATTCTCTTGAATTCTATCATGGTATTCAGAGCCAAATGGCTCACGCCACCTCCCTCGATCCTTAGGCCGTAATTTCCTCTCCGCGTCTTAGATCTAGCCTCCCGCGGCCTCAATCCTCCCTCCCGTACCTCAGATCTAGCTTTCCGCGGCTCAGATCTACTCCTCCGCGGCCTCAATCCTCCCTCCCGTACCTCAGATCTAGCTTTCCGCGGCTCAGATCTACTCCTCCGCGGTCTCAATCCTCCCTCCCGCGGCCACAATCCTCCCTCCCGCGGCCTTAATCCTCCCTCTCGCGGCCTCCGACCGCTCTCCCGCGGCCTCAATCCTCCCTCCCGCCGCCACCCCTCCCTCACGCCTTCCGTCGCGGACGGCCAGCACACCGTCGCGGACGGCCAGCAAGCCGTCGCGGACGGCCAGAAAGCCGTCGCGGACGGCCAGAAAGCCGTCGCGGACGGCCAGCAAGCCGTCGCGGATGGCCCGCAAGCCGTCGCGGACGGCGAGCCAACCGTCGCGGACGGCCAGCCCGCGGCCACGAGCACCCCGCGCGTCGACGCGGACGGCCAGCGCGGAGTCGCGGCCGACCTGTGCGCCATCCCGAACGGCCGCCGCGCGATCGCCGACGACCTCCGCGCCGACGCGGACGACCGACGCGGAGCCGCGGCCGACCCTCGCGCTGACGCGGACGGCCGACGCAGAGCCGTGGCCGACCCTCGCACTGACGCGGACGGCCGACGCAGAGCCGCGGCCGACCCTCGCGCTCTCACGGGCGGCCGACGCGCCGCCGCGACTGACCTGCGCAACCTCCCCCCTTCATCCGCGCCCTGCCCCACACTTCCGCGCCATCCTTCCTCTCCCCTACCTCCTCCCCCCCCCCTACTTCACCCTTAATCGCACCAGCAACAGCACCTAGCAGCGACCTTTAACCCTAAGGCACCAGCAGCGGCACCAGCAGCGGCACCAGCAGCGGCACCAGCAGCGGCACGAGCAGCGGCCCCAGCGGTTATCCGCGCCTTCCACACCTCCCTCTCTGAGGACTCCCATGAGGAGTTCCTTGACCTCCACCTTTCCGACCCCTCCCTCCTCCCCATCACCTTTGACCTGTCTGGAACACCAGTCTTCGCCTTTTCCTCTGCTCCCTCCATCTTCGTCCCAACCACGTACGAGGAGGCCATGGCTTGCCCCGACGCCCCGCTCTGGCTTGCCGCCATCATCAAGGAGCTCGAGGCATTTATCGCCAACTCCTCCTTCGTTGATGTCCCTCGCCCTCCCTCCTCTACGAACGTGGTAAAGGGGAAGTGGGTGTTTCGCGTCAAACAGCTACCAGGAGAACCGCCCGTCTACAAGGCCCGGTATTGCGCCAAGGGGTTCACGCAGCGGTATGGTTTTGACTTCTTCGACACCTTCTCCCCCACCGCCAAACCTGCTACCGTTCGCGCTGTACTCGACCTCGCCGCTCGCCTCAACATGGAGATCCACTCGATGGATGTCTCCAACGCCTTCCTGCAAGGCGTACTACGTGAACTCATTTACATGGAGCGCCCAGACGGCTTCCACCTCCCCTTCCCCGCCGACTCCGTCTGGCAGCTGCGCCGACCCGTGTACGGGCTCCGTCAGGCACCCAGGGAGTGGCATGCCAAGCTTGCTGCCACCCTTGCTGAGCTTGGCTTTCGCACCTCCCGCTCTGACGCCAGCCTCTTCCTCCGCACCTCTCCCTCCCCCTTCTACATCCTCGTCTATGTTGACGACATGATCCTCCTCACCGCCGACCTTGCCGAGCTCGAGACTGTCAAGGCGGAGCTGGGCAGCCGTCTCAAGTGCAAAGACCTGGGAGAGCTGCAGAACTACCTCGGCATGACCATCACTCGCGACCGCTCCGCCCGCACCATCTCACTCTCTCAGGGTCACTACCTCCAGCAGGTCTTGGACCGGTTTGACATGGCGCGCGGCAACCCCCAGCCCACTCCCCTCTCGGTTGGGCACCACCTCTCCCCTACCTCTCCCTCCTCCCATCCTTATCCGGAACTCATCGGCTCTCTCATGTACGCCATGGTTTCCACTCGCCCCGATCTTGCCTACCCCATCAGCGTCCTCGCTCGGTTCGTTGGCGCTGGCAAGCACACGGAAGAGCACTGGCAGGCCGCCAAGCGTGTCCTTCGCTACATTCGTGGCACCAAGGACTATGTCCTCACTCTTGGCGGCCCTTCCCCACCACACCTCAACGGCTACAGCGACTCTTCCTGGGCTGATTCTCGACCGGATCGGCGGTCCTCTCAGGGCTATGGCTTCTCCCTCGGCAGCGGTCTCATCAGCTGGCGGTCCACACGCTCCTCTGCCGTCGCCCTCTCCTCCTGCGAAGCAGAGCTCTATGCTGCGACCATGGCCGCGCAAGAAGCACGCTGGCTCACCTTCCTCCTTGATGAGCTCGGAGCCCCCCAACGCTGTCCCACCATCTGGTGTGACAACGCCAGCACCATCCACCTCACCAAGGACGCTGTGTATCATGGGCGCTCAAAACATATTGAGCTTCGCTACTTCTTCATTCGCGATCTCGTTGAGGCCGGCCACATTCGTCTTGGCAAAATCGACTCGGCAGCCAACCTCGCCGACATCTTCACCAAAGCTCTTCCCCTAGCGTCCCACTCCTTCCTGTTGCGTCTCCTTGGGCTCACCCCGCCACCAGTTTTGGCGGCCTCCTGATTACATTTTTTCTAGCCTTATGCATGTTGGGGGGTTGTGTTGTAAATGTATCTTATATATACAACATACATAGGCTAGAATAGGTGTAGCTCTTTAAGCTATTGGGGGGTTGGGTGTACACTCCAACCACACTTTGTGGTTGGGTCAAGATTTGGTTTGGTCTTGGTCCTTGGTTGGCACTTGCCAACATTTGGTCCTAAGGCCAACCAATCACAAGCTAGCAACATTGTGGGGTTCCCTACTCCACAAGGCAACTCACCCATTGGCCAACTTAGTGGCCAATAGGGTTGCACCTTCTTCCAACCTCTCTTCCTTGGCTCATTACTCAACTATTCTCTTGAATTCTATCATCACTCACCTCCTGAACCCCATGGTCCCACCCCTCTCCCTGTCAACCTCCCTCCTCCACAGTCCCTCTTCTGGCCCGTGCGAGTGGTCGATCCACTCTCTGTGCGCCGCCTACCCACTCACTCTACTCTCTCCTGCTCTCACTCACCTCCTAAACCCCACGGTCCCACCCACCCCTCTCCCTGTCACCACCCCACATCAGTCGCTCTTCTGGTCCGTGTGAGTGGTCAACCCCGTCTCTGTGCGCTGCCTGCTCACCTCCTCGTTCTCCCTCACCTGCTCTCCCCTTCTCAGGCGTGTTGCTCATTCATCCCAACTCTCCCCTCTTCCTCCCCACTGTCACCACCCTCCACAGTCCCTCTTCTCGTCCGTGCGTGTGGTCGACCCCATCTCTGTGCGCTGCCCGCCAGCTCGTGCCGTCCGGCCTCTGCCGCACGACTTTCTGATTCTCAGGCTGTGGCAGCAGGTGAGTTCAGTTACTGTGGCAGGTGCAGTGCGGTATGTCAGAACAGCCCTTCACTTCACTGAGCAGCCTTTCAGTGCCCCATCCCTCTCTCAGCCTTGTTGGCTTTTGACTCGACTCAAGAGTCTATTCATTTCAATGTCAGCGATAAGCTTTTTGATATATCTGAAAAAACGTGCGTGATAACCGATTTTTGAGTCGACTCAAAAATTGAATATCTGAAAAACGTGTGTGATAACCCCCACCGCACCCACCGCCCTTCACTTCACTAAACAGCCTTCCAGTGCTTCATCCCTCTCTCAGCCTTGTTGGCTTTTGACTCGACTCAAAAGTCTGCTCATTTCAACGTGCGTGATAACCCCCACCGCACCCACCGCCCTTCACTTCACTAAACATCCTTCCAGTGCTTCATCCCTCTCTCAGCCTTGTTGGCTTTTGACTCGACTCAAAAGTCTGCTCATTTCAACGTGCGTGATAACCCCCACCGCACCCACCGCCCTTCACTTCACTAAACATCCTTCCAGTGCTTCATCCCTCTCTCAGCCTTGTTGGCTTTTGACTCGACTCAAAAGTCTGCTCATTTCAACGTGCGTGATAACCCCCACCGCACCCACCGCCCTTCACTTCACTAAACATCCTTCCAGTGCTTCATCCCTCTCTCAGCCTTGTTGGCTTTTGACTCGACTCAAAAGTCTGCTCATTTCAACGTGCGTGATAACCCCCACCGCACCCACCGCCCTTCACTTCACTAAACAGCCTTCCATAAGACCCTATCCACTGACCCATCCCACCCAACCCCCCTGTCTCCCTCCTGTCCTCTCCCCCCCAACCATCAGACCGACATTACCACTCATTGCCTACGTGCATCCGCTCTCCCTCTTCTGGCGCTCCTGCCTGCAACTCTTCTCCCACCACCACCACCTCAAACACTGCTGCTGTCCCTCTCGCCATACTCCCTTTTCCCCGCCCCGCTTTCCCCGCCCCCCACAACCATCAGACCGACATTACCACTCATCGCCTACATGCATCCACTCTCCCTCTTCTGGCGATCCTACCTCCACCTCTTCTCCCACTCACCGCCCCTTCGCTTCTGCTCACCACCTAATTCCCCTGTCTCCCTCCCATCCTCCCCCTTCAACCATCAAACCGACATACCACTCATTGCCTACGTCCATCCTCTCTCCCTCTTCTGGCCATCCTGCCTTTGCTTTTCGTGTGCTCCCATACGCATGCTCCCCACTCCCTGGCCCCCCATTTGTCCCCCCCACAACCAACAGGTCGACGTCCCACTCATCGCCTACGTGCATCCACTCTCCCTCTTCTGGCGATCCTGCCTGCAACTTTTCTCCCACCACCAACCATTCGCCGCCGCTCCTATCTCCCTGCCGCCTGACCGCTTCTCCACCTCCACTCTCCTCCTCGCTCCTTCAGAGAACCTCTTTCAGGTGCGTGTCATCTCCATGTGCACGTTTCTGTCGAGTTGACTCTCAAGTAGCCGCCCTTCTCTTCCTGCCACCTGACCCCTTTCCCACCTCCGCCTCCACTCTCCTCCTCGCTCCCTTAATGCGTCTCTTCCAGTCCAAGTGTGTCTATTCTCGTAGGCACTGATGAAGGCCTGGTAGGGGATGCCCTCCAGCCGAAACATGTTTGTCTTGTTTTCGGAAGATGTCCGAGGATCGTCTCTTCCAGTCCAAGTGTGTCTAGTTTTCACGACTGGTAGAGATGCTCATTAGCTAAAATGCGTTCACTTTGTCACTGTTCCTAGTTTCTCAAGAATCAAGATTGCATGAACAAGCAAATTCCATCGCTTCTTTGCCGTGCGTTCACTTGTCACTATTCTTTGCCGTTTAATAATTGCTTCTTCCCAACTCTCGTACTCTTTTTCGCTGGTGATTTCTCTCTCTCTCTCTCTTTTTTTTTCTTTCTTTCTTTTTCTCCTTAATCGGTTTCTCTAGTACTCCTGCCCTTTTAGCCATCAGAGACGACGGCCCATTGTTTCTTCCTCTGTATTCCCCATCTCCTTCTTCCTTTCACCTCGGGCCTTCATGAATCGTATATCGTCACTGTTTTTCCCAACCGCATCTTTTATCCATTTCCTGAACCCCTCTCGTCTCAATGTTTCTTCCCTCCTTTCTCCCCAACCCCCTTCACCCCTCCTTCACCACAGGCCTTCATGAATCGTCTATCCTCACCTCTCTGTCCGACTCAGTAAACCATTTCTTAAACACCGCTTACCCCTCCTGGTTCACCTCCCCTCCAGCCCACCGCCTCCGCCTCTCTTTGTGTCTTTCTTCCTTCCTTTCTTTCCCTCCATCCCCTTCACCCTTTCTCCACCACAGGCCTTCCTGACTAGTCTATCATCACCTCTCTTTCCGACCAACTCCGTAAATCATTTCCGGAACTCTGCTTACTCCTCATGGTTCATATTCCCCTTCCTTTCCCCCCATCCCCCTCACCCCTTCACCACCACAGGCCTTCCTGCATTGTCTATCATCACCTCTCTTTCCAACCAACTCCGTAAACCATTTCACAAACGCCGATTACTCCTCTTGGTTCACCTCCCCTCCATCTCACCGCCTCTCACACTCATTCCATCCTTCATTTCCCCCCCGTCCCCTTCACCCCTCCTCCACCACAGGCCTTCATGAATCGTCTATCATCGCCTCTCTTTCCGTCCAAATCCATAAACCATTTCCTGAACGCCGCTTACTCTTCCTGGTTCACCTCCCCCCCACCCCACCACCTCCCTGTCTCATTCTGTCTTTCTTCCTTTTTCCCATCCCCTTCACCCCTTCACCACCACAGGCCTTCATGAAACGTCTATCCTCACCTCTCTTCCCAACCGCATCGTTCTTTGCCATCTAATCCCATCACTTCTTCCTTCCTTCTCCCCATCCCCTTCTCCTCTCTTCCACCACAGGCCTTTGTCGATCAACTATCATCACCTCTCTTTCCGACCGACTCCGTAAACCATTTCCTGAACGCCGCTTACTCCTCCTGGTTAACGTTCCCCTTCCTTCCTCCCCCATCCCCTTCACCCCTCCTCCACCGCAGGCCTTCGTCAATCATCTATCCTCACTGCTCTTCCCAACCTCATCTCTCATCCATTTCCTAAACGCTGTTTACTCCTCCTGGTTCACATCCCCCTCACCTCTCCTCCCTCTCTCATTGTGTCTTTCATTTCTCCCTTCCTGTTCCCTCCATCCCCTTCACCCCTCCTCCACCACAGGCCTTCACGACTCGTCTATCATCACCTCTCTTTCCGACCAACTCCGTAAACCATTTCCTAAACGCCGCTTTCTCCTCCTGGTTAACGTCCCCCTTCCTTTCCCCCCATCCCCCTCACCCCTTCACAACCACAGGCCTTCATCAATCATCTATCATCATCTCTCCTTCCGGCCGACTCCGTAAACCATTTCCTAAACGCTGCTTATTCCTCCTGGTTCATATTCCCCTTCCTTCTCCCCCATCCCCTTCACCCTTTCCCCACCGCAGGCCTTCATGAATCGTCTATCCTCGCCTCTCTTTCCGACCGACTCTGTAAACCATTTCCTAAACGCTGCTTACTCCTCCTGGTACACCTCCCCTCCAGCCCACCGCCTCCCCCTCTCATACGCCACGCCTCTCGCTCTCAAGCCCTACACGCTACCCTTCCTTGCCCCGTTCCATATAATCACATTAGACGGCGCCGTCCCTCCTTATGGGAACATGGCCGGGTGGAGAGGGCAACCGAGGTTCCGGGTTGTGCTTGTATGGAGGAAGATTTTCTGTGGCTTGCCTGCGGAACTGCGTACTTCTAAGCTTAGGAAGTTGTGTAGATGACTTTTTGTTAACAAATTTGTTTATGCAACAACTTCTGCAGACTGCATGTCCAACCTGTTTCATTCAAATTAATTTTACAAAGAAAAAGGCTACAGCTTCTAAAATGCAAAGTGGAGTGGTTTATTATTGAAAGTATATTGGTGTGATTATTAAATAAAAAAAGATGTGGAATAGTTCCCAGATCATTTTTATTATGCATTTGCATTATTCCCAAACAACCCTGAATGAATTAAAGTCTGGATTTCAATGGTTAACGAATGTGAAATAACGGTACATCATTTATCTCTTCTGCGTTTGCAAATGGGGCTTGTTCCAATGCAAACAACAGCGAAAGCAACTCCCAGGAAGGACACCAATTCGGGGGCGGGAAGATGGTGAAGAAATCTTCCCACATCGCCGCAACTAGCGTAACCAATAACGACTCAGAGCGGTTCGTGACGACATTCCCCAGCATGCCGTGTCGGCACGTAAATTTCTCGAATTTGAAATGGCGCGTGGGACATTAGAAATTCTCCTCCTTGTCCCTCGCCCACGATATCTCATCCAGATTTGCTCACAAAATGACTGCGCTGATCATGCAATGCAGGGAGCACGCACACCAGACTCGCTTTCTCATGGCTGCGCTGCGCACATTCGTCGACAACATCAAAGCTATACTTTGCTGTTTTCAGTGAGCCTCGTTGGTGCTTTGATTCCTTTCTTTTACCTGCTTATCCCCTCCTCTCTTATCATGCTCCTGCTCATAGGTTAGCTTTTTAACTTTATGAAAGTATGCCGTAAGTCATCCGACGCAAATCACCTATTGCAATACGGCTCAGGTTTCCTAGTATTAGAGCTAAGCATTCCCTCCTCTTTTGAAGTTTCTCAGCAGCATTTAAATCTCGAAAGCACGCTCAAAAGGCGCATCATAGTCGCTACCACTTGCATCACCGAATTGATGGCGATATCGATATGCACGCGCTTCTCGCTGCGCCATCTTCCGCTCGCGCTCCTCGTGCTTGCGCTCATCACACCCATCGCCCCCGCGCTGCTGATTCTTGCGCTGGTCTTCACCGCGTCGCCCACAAACGGCGTCAAGTGCGGCGGTAATTGCGGCGGCAAATGCGGACCATATGACAGCGAGCAAGACTTATTGGAGTACGAATCGTCGAACATGTAAGCTGTAATGTCAAGTGCCGCAATATCTTGTGGTTAGAACACAACCAAGGCTCAACCCTAATCATGAGATTGTGGTTCGTTCCCGTATCCTCGCTACTGCACTATATCGCCATCCTTTTTTTGCGAATTGCCGTGCTATTTCGTTCCCCTAAACAGGATCACGAGTCGCGTCAACAACTACCAACCCCACTCCGCGATCTGGTGCTGACACGTTTCGCCAACACTACAATTCCGCCATCCCCTTTGCGAGCATTCGCGCTACTACCACCCGACTCCGCGATCTAAGGAGAGGTTACAACTATACGAATCGCGGCGTCGTTTAGCCGGGTTGCAACGGGCGCCCTTGCAGAACGAATGCTCGCGTCTTCAAGGTTTTCCGTCAGGCGAATCATCTCCGATCAGTGCGATGGAGCACAAGTAGTAGTAACGTACTGGGAACGGAAACACACTGCTAATAGTTTTGCTACGGACGCCTCCTTGTCCTCCTGCTGCTACCAACTCGTAGCAAACGTGGTGCGTGGCGGGAAAGAAGTGATGAGCAGACGCACACTCAGGTATTTCATTTTTATTTCGTCACCGATTTGCGGTAGCGTAGACGGTGATCAGCAGGCCTATCACTGGTGTGATTGCTTGGAAGGCTGGCTTGGTTAGTGGCGGTGTTACGTGGTTTGTATTCAAAGGAGGATTCCCAAATCAAGCAACCTCGAATGCATCCACCTTCACATGATAGGGAAGTATAATTTCAGGCAAAGGTGTAGACTCCACAAAAGAGAACTCAATATACTGCAGAAATAAAGAGCAAATACTGAATGCTTGAAACTAGATTGTAAAAAAAGTACTAGGCACAAACATAAAAAGAACAAGCACTTTTACTACAGTAGTATAATCTAGCACGAGCAGTGCCAAGGCTTCACATCACACACATCTACCGTACATGCACTGTCTACCTCACTATCTCAGCCTTGCACTTTACTTTCTATCCTGCACTGTACAAATTGCAACTCTGAAACAACTACGGTACCGTAAAAGCTGGAAAAGAAACTCTACGAAATAAATATGCGCACTCCTCTGCTGCTCTCTCTAGGCCTTCACCTTTCTTGCCTCACCTCATCCCATTATTTTCCTTCAATCATAGAAACCGTGTTCCAGTCGAAACACACTCACCTCACATAGCTATTTCCCCACTCCTTTGGCCGCTGACAGACTAGCGGAGTTAGCAGCAGCAGGGGCAGGAGGAGCAGCAGCAGCAGAAGCAGCAAGCACGCCTGCCCGGCGACGCACAGGCGAGTGCATGCCGCTAGCAAATGCGCCTGAAGAGAGTGCATTTGCAAGTCGGGGGAGGACAGGCTTACGTTGCTGCTGCTGCTGCCGCTGCTGCCGCTGCTGCTGCAGGTGTTGCAGTTGCTGCTGCTGGCAGTGCGGGTGCAGCAGCAGTGGCGGCATCCATAACAAATCGTGACGCACGCACATCTACCCCGGTCGCTGCTGCTGCTGCTGCTGCTGCTGCTCCATTGGAACGTTCTGCCGCTGCTGTTGAGGGTGATGTTGTTGCTGCTGCTGGCTTTAATGCTACCGGCACTGCTGCTGCTGGAGCGTCCGACACATCCCTTCCACCATCTCCAATCAAGCCAACCAACGACGACACAGAATCCTCCCTCGACACTCCCCCCTCACTCCCTCCCGCTGATCCTCCCCAAGCCCCCGACTCCGAAACTGAGGCTTTAAGAGGCGTGCCGGCACTTAAAGCCGCAGCTGAGACGGAACCACTGGGGTATACCGAGATAGAGGAGGCGAGTCGCTGCCTGTGCATGTGGTGCCGCGCGCCCCTGACAGCTAGGACGGTTGCTGCCACGACTGCTGCCAGCAGGACCGCCAGCGCCACGCTGGCGACGATGATCGCCGTTGCTGACGTGGACCGTGCTGACGTGGATGGCGCTGAGCTGGCGCCTGCTGACGTGTCAACTGCGGCGCGGAAGGTGGATGCTGGGGTTGGATCCATGACTTCAGCAGTTCCAACAGTGATCTTACTAGTAGGCTTGACAGGGGGGAGACTAGGAGGCTTAACAGTCGCTGCAGGCTTAATAGCAGGTGCGGCGATAATAGTAGCTGCCTTGATAGTGGTCCCAGGAGGCAGGAGGGAGGAAGGGGCGTTCTTATGCAGGCAAAGGGCGATGCCGTTGCTCTGACTGGTAGAGTTGCCGAGTGAAGATGCTGTATAGTAGGCGATTAAAGCCCAGCAGCGCTGCTTTTGTGAAGTGGAGTCGCCAGGGTGGACGAGAGCATCTGAAACAGAAGGGCGGGGCAGAGGAAGGGTTTACAGAGGAAAAGGCACAGCGGAATCAATCCGAATACTGCTTCTAAGAGATGGTGTCTCTGCAGCAGATGAGAGCATCTGTGAGGTGGCGAGAGGAAGGGTGGGCAGAGGAAGGGCTCAGCATCTTATCACAGTCCACACCCTAGGAGCTCACATAAGCACACACAGAGTCCAGCCAGTTTTTGAGAATTCTAAAAAAACGAGCTTGACAAAGAGTGTAGACACCTGCTTGGCACAGTCCGAGCAGCAACTAGTGCTGCCAGTGGTGCTGTAGCCGCGTTGCTACCTTCGCACAACACTCACAAGCACACAGAGAGTCCCCCTAGTCAACTCACCAAAGAGTGTAGACACCTGCTTGGCACGGTCCGAGCACCGGCCCGTGCTGCCGGTGGCGCTGCCGGTGGGGTGCCTTGTAAGTCGGACCACATGCACACACAGACAGCCCCGCACATGGCTCACACACAGAGAGGACTCACCAAAGAGCGTGGAGACCTGCTTGGCACAGTCTCAGCACCGCCCCGTGCTGCCGGTGGTGCTTCTGGTGCAGTCTTGCTGCCATACAGATTGTCCCAAACAGCTCACACAGAGCACACATGACTCACCAAAGAGCGTCGACACCTGCTTGGCACAGTCTGGGCACCGGCCACTGCTGCCAGTGGTGCTGCTGCAGTCCTTCTGCATGTAGCTGCTCACCCACCCTACTGGAGAGGCTTTTAACGCGGATGTGAGCTGGTGGGGACAAAAGGAAAAGAAGAGCAGGGGAAACGGGGCGTTGTAAAACGGAGGGTCAAAAGGGAGGGGCAAGTGGGGAGAAAGAGGGAAAGAAGGGGGAAAACGTGGAAGGGAAAGGAGTGGGAAAGAGGGGAAGGGGGAGAAGGAGGGACTGAATGAAGCTCAGCGCAATCTGGTCTCCTCCAATGAGCAGAACCGGAACAACACAGTCGCAGCAGAATATTCTCGCTCCTCCCTCTCACCTCCTTCTCCCCTCCCCCTCACTCTTCCCCCTACCTCACTCTTCCCTCTCCCTCCCTTTCCTCTTTCCCTCCCGCCTTCCTCTCTTCCCTCACACTCCCCCTCACATCCCCATTCACACACTCTCTCTCCCTCTCACCTGAGCTTCTGTGGTAATTCCGTGACATGCCCCCTTCCCTCCATCCAGTCCAAATTGCACCGCCCCAAACCCCAGCCGCCCGCACTGTAGCACCGGATTGAACTTAGAAAGAACCGCAACCGCTGCTGCTGACGCTGATGCTGCTGCTGCAAGTGCGGCTTTGGGAGATTGTAAATAGGGTACAAACTCCTTCATGCACTGCCCGGCACGGGCGTCGAAAACCGCAGGGGTATTTACCCTCGGCGATTTAGCCTTTGCGGTGGCAATGGCGGTGGATTGGAGGAGTGCTGACGTGGCAGCGCAGCAGCCAATCAGAGAGGAGGTAATGGGAAGAGGTGTGGAGGACGAAGAGGAGGAGGAGAGAGGGAGGGAGCTGCATGCGTTGGCCAGGAGTGCCAGGCTGGATTTGCTGTATGCTGACGTGGACCAGGGACACGTGGCAGCTGTGGATTCGGTGGAGGGAGGGAGGGAGGAGAGGAACAGGAAAGGCGTAGGCAGACGTAGGTTAAAAAAGGAAAAAGGGGTAAAAAAAGAGCACTTGCCTTGGATTTCAAGTGCGAAAGCGAGTGACGTGTTGTTCTTTCATGTCGACGTGGCAAGACGCGATTGGTGCAGTAAGGTGTAGCTTACGTGTCTGGCAAGCAGATAGGTCTGTCGTCGTCAGCAGCCCCTTGGGTGCCACGTTAGCACAGGAGTAGTTCCTCCCGTCACTGGCACACACCTGTAAGAGAAAAATCTTTAGTTGGCAACTTGGCAACCCAACCACCAACACACCCCCTTTTCCCTACCACCTAAATGTCATTTCCCCGCCTCTCCCAACCCTCCACCATTGTTTTATGCACAGAATTCCATGATTTGTTATAAGCACAGTTCCTCTGTAAGCTCAGACCCACAAGGATCCGTTATAAGCACGTACCTTTGAAGCTTTAATGGGGCATTGAGATTCAGAAGGCGTCACGATCACATCTGAGTAAATGGGGGAGAGGGGGGGGGGGGAGGAGGGAGGGGTGGAGGGCAAGGGGGAGGGAGCAAGAGGGTCAGGAGGGAGGGATGAGGAGAGGAGAATAGGGTGAAGGGGGAGAAGGGAGTATGCCTTTAGGAATGAGAGGGGTTGAGAGGGGTTTAAAACTTTGACGCTTAAGAGATCGGAGTCTAATAATCTGGGATCTGGGAGTCTCGGTTCTATTTTGAGGTTCGCAGCAATTGGTGGTGGTGGCGACACCCTTAGGACCCACTTCTTTGCACGAATTGATCCGCCTGTTGGCCCCACACACTATCACCCACTGGTACCGCACACCACCGCACTCAGCACCTAGGAGTAGGGGATCAACTTACCTCCAGGAGGGCGACACTTAGAGAGATCGGTGGTGGTGGCCATTCCCTTGGGCGCCATTTCTTTGCACGGGTACATCTGACCGTTGACCCAGTCCCGCACACCAGCACCCATTGGTACCGCACACCACCTCAGTCAACACCTAAATCTAGGAGCAGCACTCACCACCTGGTGGCCGGCACTTGGAGAGGTCGGTGGTGGCCATTCCTTTAGGACCCATTTTCCTTGCACGGGTACATCTGGCCATCGGTCCAGCCCCGCACACCAGCACCCATTGGTACCGCACACCACCGTGTTCAACTCACCCCCAGGAGGCCGGCACTTGGAGAGGTCGGTGGTGGTGGCCATTCCCTTGGGCGCCATTTCTTTACACGGGTACATCTGACCGTTGGCCCCGCACACTATCACACCACCCACTGGCACCGCACACCACCACACCACCTATTGGCACCACACTCAACACTTGCTTACCCCCAGGCGGGCGACACTTGGAGAGGTCGGTGGTGGTGGCCATTCCCTTGGGCGCCATCTCCCTGCACGGGTACATCTGACCGTTGGCCCCACACACTATGACGTTCAGGGAGCACATGATTATGGGCTGCGCGGGTGCTGGAGAAGCAAAGGGAGAGGGGACAGGGAGAGGGCAGAGGGGAGTAAGAGAGGGAGGGAGAGAGTAAGAAGGAAGGAGCTATCTCCCTGCACGGGTACATCTGGCCGTTCGCCCCACACACTATGACATTCAGTGAGCACATGATTATGGGCTGCGCGGGTGCTGCTGAGGCAAGGGGAGAGGGGACAAGGAGAGGGCAGAGGGGAGGAAGGGAGAGGGAGAGAGTAAGGAGAAGAGGCATCTCCCTGCACGGGTACATCTGGCCGTTGGCCCCGCACACTATCACGTTCAATGAACACAGCACTTGGGGCGGGGGTTGGTGCTGGTGAGGGGCAGGCAAGGGGCCGCTTGCCAGAGAACGGTGGGGTGGGGAGGAGGATGACAGGCTAAGCAGTCTATGACCCCTGAGAAGCCATTTCCCTGCTCGGATAATCTGTGCACGCAACCGTGGTATCGCTGATTAGCGATAGTGGTACTGTGGAAGCACAACTGGCTAAGCAGTATGAGACCCCTCAGAAGCCATCTCCCTGCACGGATAATCTGGCCGTTGGCCCCACACACTTTGACGTTCAATCACTTGGGGCTGGGGCGGTGCTGGTGAGGGGCAGGCAAGCGGCCGGGCCAGGGAACGGTGGGGTGGGGAGGATGACAGGCTAAGCAGTTTGTGACCGTGATCTCCTTGGAATTGTCGGGCGAGACGAGCGAGAGGAGTGAGGGGGGAGCGAGAAGGGAGAGCATGGGAACGTCACGAAGCGCCACACGGACGAAGTCTCCCCTGTGGCCCGCCCAGGAAGCAAACTCACCCGCCGATGCCTAGCCCAGGCCCAATCGTGGTATCGCTGCTTGCTTAGCGATAATGGAAGTGTGGAATCGCAACTCAACGGGGCTGGAGATCTTCTTGGAATCGACGAGCGACACGAGCGACACGAGCGAGAGGAGAGAAACAACCGCGAGAACGAGCAGGAAACGCCACACGGACGAGGTCTCCCCCGCGGCCCGCCCAGTAGGGAGACCCACTGGCTGGGGCCAAGCCCAGGCTCAACCGTGGTATCATTGATTAGCGATAATGGAAGTGTGGAATCGCAACTCACGGGGGCTGAAGATCTTCTTGGAATCGACGGGCGACACAAGCGAGACGAGCGAAACGACCGCGAGAACGAGGAGGAAACGCCACACGGACTTAGCCCCTCCCGTGGCCCGCCCAGGAGGGAGACCCATCGGCCGAACCGTAGCCATGGATGCGTCACTTAACAGAAAATAAAACGTGAGCTGATTATACTGTAATAATAGTAGGTCGGAGAATGGAACGTGTATAATAAATCAACACCAGCAAGTGTGGGCACGGAGAGCAGAGACAACCGGTGTTTTTAATAGTAGCGTCGTCTCGTGCGTCTGGAACGAGCAGATATATTACTCCGGGAGATAGGTATGATGGAAGAAAGGGGAGGCCGGGATAGGTTTATGTATTGAGAACGTGAAACCGGAACTACTTTCGTTTCGCCTCTCGGACCGCTCCCTGAGGCAGCGGGCTCGCGAATCGCATTCCCAAGCATGCGAGCTGAAAATCCCCCATCCAAATCCGCGAAACGAGGCGCGAAGCCACGTTGCGTCATGGTCGGCGCGGCGCGCGGCGGGCGCTACGGACGGCGGATTGTTGGCCTATGGACGGCCAATATCTGGTGTGCGATGGGCTCTGATTGGCCAGGAAAGCCGTTTTCGGGTTCTAATTAGCTGCAAGACTCTGTCCGTGTGCTGACAAGTACTGTGTTCTCAAGGCGCCTCGCTTTCACCCCCACGCGGTTTGATTAGGTTCGATTATGAACCTGCTGGGGTACGTCAGCCGAGCAAGCTCACTATAGTGCGGTTCAGTGAGTTTTTATGCGTTACTAGATGGTGTTGCAAGGCAACGACATTCACGACGGTTTGGCAAAAGCCCTTTTCGAAAAGGGGTGTCGGTTTGCTGACACACGCAAAAGTGTACTCGATAGAAACATATTCTATGCACTCCATGATCCATTCGGCATTTGTGCGCTGAAATATTCGTTCGACGGTTCATTCTCTGTTGAACTAATGATTTGAATTATTGATTCTCTTTATTGATTCTCTTTCTAATCTCGCACACAAATATCGAAACTTGACCTGATGAAGTCCCAGAAACTGGCTTCACGTTTTTTTAAAGAGGAAAAGGGAAAGAGGGAGAAGGAAAAGGGAAAGAAAGACACCAGAAACAACTCAAACGCAACACCCATAAAAAGCCCCATAAAAATACTCCATAAAGAAAAAACCCAACCAGGATCCCCTACCAGACGTCCCATCTCGCACCCCATTCCCCCTCGCCCCCCCCCTCCCTCCCCCCCCAAGTCACATCTGCACATCCACCATGTAGGGGGCCTCCACCCAAAGAGGCCCGCCCTCCACCTCGACATCGTCCCTCTCCCGATCCACCAAGTCCACATTCAACCCCCCCATGGAAGACGCCGCCCGAAGCAGGATGACACGAGCTTGCGCCCGTTGTAACGCCACTCCGATGAGCGCCTTCAGAGACCCCAAAAGGTAAGCCGAGAACGAAGTGTCATCCTCCCGACAAGCCCCCCGTGACACAGCTAGCCCCACGTGCGCGTCCCCCTGCTGTCGAAGCCACCGCCGGAAGCGACCGCCGAGACACCCCCACGTCTCCACTATCAAAGGGGTGAACTGCACGCCTCGGTTCCGTGCAAGAAGAGGCGCGTAATCCCCCGTTTTGCGACGCTCCCACTCCTTTGCCGCCACGCCTATAGACCGCCCGCACTGCCCTAGCAGAGATGGAGACAGTGATAGCGGGTCCGCGACACTAATCTCTAAAGCATGAGCCTCCCCAGCCATTGGTCGTCGCACCGCTACGTCAACCCGCTTCCCCGGCAGCACCGCACTATCCTCCATCGTCACCACCCCCCCTGACGCCTTAGCGATCTTTGCCACCGCAAACTTCACCTCATCATGCACCCGAGATGGACCGTGTTGGTGCTTGCATCTCAGCGCATGATGCGGGTCTGCTGGGTCATCATACGCTGTGCCACAAACACACCTCCCCGCCACTTGCAGCTGCTGGATTGGGAGACCAAGCCGTATAGCAGCAGCAATGCCCCACTCCGCTGCAGTGAATGTGAGATCTGAATGAGCCGGAACTGCCGAAACCCATGCACCAGCCCCCGGGCCCTGAAGGGATGTGAAACGGGCCAGGGTGGCATCGTCACGAGCCAAGCGGCGGAGTGCCTGGAGCTCCTCAACAGCCAACTGCCGCTGCCGCGCCTGGAAAAGCCGAAGAGGAGGGGCCGCCACACACAGGGGTAAGTCCGGCAGCTCCTGGCGTATAGTCGCGGGCAACTGCTCAATGGCCTTGGCAAACCACGGGTCAAGAAGCTCCGCCCCCGCCGAAGTGGTGAGGTACTCTGCGAACATCGCCTCCTCGCCCGCCACCCCCAAATGTGCAATATCCCGTGCGGCCTGCGTGTCAAACATTATATGTTTATATGATTGTAGGCTGTAGTGGGTTACACCTTAGGGGGTACACTAGATTAGGGTTTCCTACTTGTATCCAACTTTGTGCTAGTACAGTCATTCCTGTCTGTTGATTCCGACATGGTTTCAGAGCAGGTCCTTCGCTAGGACCGTTCTTAGGGCCCACCGCTACCTACCTACCTACCTACCTACCTACCTACCTACCGTGCGCCCTCGTGCGCCTACGCGCCCCAGTGCGCCTCCTACCTACCGCGCGCGCGCAGCCCGCCAGCCAATCGCGCGCGGCTCGTTTTCTATTTTTAACCGCGCGCGACCCGCTAGCTGCCCGCGCGCGGCTGATTTCTTTTGAGCGCGACCGGCTCGCTGCCCGTGCGCCGCTCGCACCGCTATAGCGCAGCCCGCAGCGGCCCCGCCGGCCTGCACATTGCCGCCCGCCCGCTGCAGCGCCCGCCCGCTCGTCGCCCGCTGCAGCTGCCGCTCGCTCGTCGCCCGCTGCTGCTGCCGCCCGCTCGTCGCTCGCTGCAGCTGCCGCCCGCTCGTCGCTCGCTGCTGCTGCCGCCCGCTCGTCGCCCGCTGCAGCTGCCGCCCGCTCGTCGCCCGCTGCTGCTGCCGCCCGCTCGTCGCTCGCTGCAGCTGCCGCCCGCTCGTCGCCCGCTCGGCTCCTTAGCCGCCCGTCGCGGCCCCTTAGCCGCCCGTCGCGGCCCCTTAGCCGCCCGCGGCTCCTTCCCCGCGCGTCGCGGCCCCTTAGCTGCCCGTCGCGACCCCTCAGCCGCCCCTTCGCGGCTTCGTCGCTGCCGGACCTGCAGCAGCTGCCGCCGCCTAGCCTGCAACAGCAGCCGCCGCTCGACCTGCAGCAGCTGTCGCCACCGAGCCTGCAGCAGCAGCCGCCGCCAGACCTGCAGCAGCTGCCGCCGCCGAGCCTACCGCAGCTGCCACCGCCGAGCCTGCAGCAGAGGCCGCCGCCGGACCTTCAGCAGCTGCAGCCGCCGAGCCTGCAGCAGCAGCCGCCGCTCGACCTACAGCAGCTGCCGCCGCCGACCCTGCAGCAGCTGCCGCGGAGCTCCCTGCTGCGACCTGGCCCCGCCCCGCAGTTGCAGCGGCCCCGCTGTCACCACCGTCTTGCGCCCGCCGCGCCTACCTCTGGTGAGCTTTGACCTGCCCTTACTACTCCCACTGCCACTGCTGTTGCTACCACTACTGCTGCTGCTCCTGACGTGGCCAGATGCAGCTCCAGCAGGCTCGTGAGTGGTACGCCGGTTTGGGCAGTCGGGGTGGCCGTAGTGGTAGTCGCTCTGGAGTGTGTCGTTCGGGAGCCTCTGGTAGTGGACAGGTGCAGCAGCCGTGCCCTCTTATGCTCCAGCAGGCTCGTGAGTGGTACGCCGGTTTGGGACGTCGAGGTGGCCGTAGTGGTAGTCGCTCTGGAGTGCGTCGTTCGGGAGCCTCTGGTCGTGGCCAGGTGCAGCAGCCGTGCCCTCTTATGCTACAGCAGGCTAGTGAGTGGTACGCCAGTTTGGGACGTCGGGGTGGCCGTAGTGGTAGTCGCTCTGGAGTGCGTCGTTCGGGAGCCTCTGGTCGTGGCCAGGTGCAGCAGCCGTGCCCTCTTCTGCTACAGCAGGCTCGTGAGTGGTACGCCAGTTTGGGCTGTCGGAGTGGCCGTAGTGGTATGTCAGAATCACTAGGCAAGAATGATGAACTAGCAGAAGTTTGGGTACAAATATGAAACCCTAGTTGGGGTTGTACCCCATATTGGCTACCCCACTACAGCCTACAAGCATAATACAGTTTAACACACCCCCATAGGCAAAGTGGGGGAGAACAAAGGGTCACAAGACCAGTCCAGCAAAGCAAAGCAAAGCCCAGGGTGGATCACAACGTCACCACACTCCGAGCACAAGTAAAGGCCACAAGGCCAGTTCACATGCAGTGCTAGATATAGTACAAGACAAGCAACACAGTGATCAAAACCTAGCAAGCAAGCAACAAGATATATATAAAGTACAGTACAAAGAATGTCAAGCAGTGAGCAAGTGAGGAAACGTGGACACAAGGCCTAAAGAAGTACAGTGCCGCTGATGATCACTAGGCGGGAGCGCCTTGGTGAAGATATCAGCAGTGTTGGCCTTCGAGTCCACGTACACAAGCCGAAGCTGACCGCGCTGCTGAAGCTCTCGAGCAAGAAAGTAGCGAAGAGCAATGTGCTTCGTCCTGTGCTCCAGTCTGTGCACAGAAACAGCGACGGGTCAGCAGTAGACGGCGCGAACCCAAGAGCCGCAAGAGTAGTCCTCAGTGTGTCGTGCCACTCACGTGGCGCCTGACGGAGACCGTAGACTGGCCGGCGGAGACTCCACTGGGTACCAGGGGGAAACGACCCAGTAAAGCCAGGTGGGCGGCGCAGCCAGATCTCCTCGTGTAGGCTGCCCTGTAGGAACGCTGTGCTGAAGTCAAGAGAGTGAAGCTCGTAGTCACGCTGAGCAGCAACGTGCAGCAGAACCCGAAGAGTGGTCATCTTCGGGGTGGGGGAGAAGGTCTGGAAGAAATCGACCCCCTGACGCTGACTGAAGCCTCTAGCAACGTAACGAGCCTTGAAGACAGGCGGAGAACCTGGCGGCCGCTTCACCCTGAAAATCCACATGCCATCGACGATGTTCGCCCCAGGAGGGGGAACCTCGTCGACGTAGGTGCCTGTGGACTTCCAGGATGCCATCTCTGCGTCCATGGCTGTCTGCCACTGAGAGGAG